TGAACTTTGTCAGGAGGATTTCTTGCATTATTGAGATGATTGTCTGACTTTCCTTTTTTAAGTCTGTTAAAAATAAGGAAATCTTTTGATGATTTTCAAACGATTAACTTAATTTTACATTCCTGAGATAACCTTACTTTTTAATGACTCATTAATTTTTTTATATTGCTGGATTCAGTTTGCTAATATTTTAAGATTTTAAGTGTCTGTTTAAGAGGGCTAGGCTGGGTGCCTATGGTTCAAGTGGCTAAGGCGCTAGCCACATACACCTAAGGTGGCGGGTTCAAATCCAGCCTGGGCCCGCCAAACAACGACGCTACAACCAAAAAATAGCCGGCGTTGTGGCAGGCGCCTGTAGTCCCAGGTACTTGGGAGGCAGAGGCAGGAGACTCACTTGAGCCCAGGAGTTGGAGGTTGTTGTGAGCTGGATGCCACGGCACTCTGCCCAGGGGGACAGCTTGAGGCTCTGTCTCAAAAAAAAAAAAAAAAAGAGGGCTGTTGATTTCTATTTATATTGTAATGACTTTATCTGGTTTGTTATCAGGGCATTGATGACATCATAAAATGAGTTACTATTTTCCTTTTCTATTTTCTGAAATATTTATATATTTTTTGTTTTTATTTGTATCTGTTTATCTATCTATCTGAGACAAGAGTCTCCCTTTTGCCTTCAGTAGAGTACCATGGCCTCATAGTTCACAGCACCCTCAAACTTCTGAGCTCAAGTGATCTACTTGCCTCAACCTCCCGAGTAGCTGGGACTGCAGGCACCAGCCACAATGCCCTGCTAATTTTTTATTATTATTTTTATTTTTTGGTAGAGACAGGGTCTTACTGCTCTATTGCCCTTGGTAGAGTGCCATGGTGTCACACAGCTCACAGCAACCTCTAGTTCCTGGGCTTAGGTGATTCTCTTGCCTCAGCCTCCCGAGTAGCAGGGACTTAAAGGTGCCCACAACAATAACCAGCTATTTTTTTGTTGCAGTTTGGCGGGGGCCGGGTTTGAACCCAACCACCTTTGGTATATGGGGCTGGCACCCTACCCACTGAGCCATAGGCACCGCCCACCGGCTAATTTTTTTATTTTTAGTAGAGATGGGGTCTTGCTCTTGCTCAGGCTGGTCTAGAACTCTTGAGCTCAAGCAATCTGCCCACCTCAGCCTCCCAAAGGTTCTAGAATTACAGGTGTGAGCCACTGTGCCTGGCCATAGTTTAAGTCTTTCAGGAAATTTGTTCATCTTAAATTATGAAAGTTATTGGCCCAGACTAGATTTTAGATTTTTTTTAAAAATGTTCCTGTTGTAGCATTTTAATACTATAAATATTCCTGAGTAAGTACTACTTTAGTTCCATCACAGAAATGTTAGTATATTTTTGTCTTCATTTTCAAGGTTCAAAGTATTTTCTGATTGCATTTGTGGTTTCTTCTTTCACCCATAGAGTTGTTTATTTTTTTGGAGGAATGTTGTGGATATACTTTCATCATTGGTTTCTTATTTAATTCCTCTGTAGCTAAAGAATTTGTTGAGGCTTGTTATAGCCCTGAATATGATCTATTCATATGCGCCATTCAAAAGACTTGAGTGGTAATAACAAGTTCTCCCTACTTCATTAGATGGATGTAGTATCTGGAACACTGTAAATGCCCAAATGTTTGTAATCCCTCAATAGCCATGGTTGTGTGCAGACACTTCACCTCTGCCAGCCTTGACACTGTGCCCCACCCTACCCCAAGACCCCAATTATGCACCACTGTGCCCTGCTGACAAATGCCACAACCCGAGACAAGGTGGGGGTGGGATTAGGCGTCTGCTGGTGAATAGACTGGCCATGCAGGCGGAGGGGAGGGGGCAGCTATCCTGAGCCTAGGAAAGTACAGGCCTTACTGACCTCTGATTACTACAGTCTTCTGTATTTAAACTTTTGTTTTTCTTTCTTCTTCATGTGGATTGGATCTATTCTTTAAAGCCCTTTCTAGCTCTGAGAACTTTGAATCTTTAGGAAGTAGAATTAAATTGCCTATTCCATAAATGTATGTCCTTTCCAGCTTTAAGAATCCTCTTTCTTAAAGACCTAAAACTAAATTTTATATTTATAAATTTTTGGAATTCTTACAGGGACGGAAGAAGTCTATAGTGGCTGTGGAGCCCAGGAGTCTAATTCAAGGAGCTTTTCAAGGGTGTTCAGTGTCTGGGATGACACTGAAATACATGTATGGGGTAAATGCCTGGAAGAACTGGGTTCAGTGGAAAAATGCCAAGGAAGAGCAGGGGGATCTAAAATGTGGAGGTAAATACATAGCATGGATTTGTGTCTTAATTTAGGTAAGGGGAAATAGAAACAAAGCCATAAATTATTCAAAAGGGATACATTTTAGGTAAAATTAAAATCATATAACTTTAGTTTTATTTAAATTTTTATTTAAACTTTGCATTTATTTTTCTTTTGTCAGGAGTTGAACATGCCTCATCTAGCCCATGTTCTAACCCTATAGGAAGTGCTCAAGACCAGGCACGCTCTCAAGAATCCTCAGACCCAGGGTGTAAAGGTAAAACATATTTCTCTCCGTGTTGTAGGAATTACTTGTGTGTGTGTGTGTGTGTGTGT